TTTTGTTCGATCTCAGTACAGTTTAATACAGAACGAATCAAAAAGCTAATGCCTAGTCTGAGTGCGGCCCATTTTATATTGTTTTTCAGGCTTATTAAATAATTATTTTTAATCTGTTATACAGGTGTGAAAGGACATTATGTTACACAGCAAATATGGCAGTGTTCAATTAAAACTGTTGGTGTTATTTTCACACTAAACAGTGTTAATTTGACACTTAATAATATCCATGATACTTACTAATTATTATGTGTTGTGTGTAGACAGACTGAGTATATCATGTTGGTGCTGAGGCTGCTGAAYGTATCATAGCAACACAAATGTTATTTAGCAGAGAAAACAGTAACAACTTGAAGTGTCGAAGTTTAATATGAGCAAATCTAGAGTTTTTTTCACACTGGTGTGTTTTTGAGAGTTAGTTTTGTCTATAAGCCAGAAAAGCAATATAAAATGGACAAAGACTTTTCCCTCTTTCTCTGTATAGCTAGTTTGAGAAACAAACAAAAAAAACTTAAAGTTGAATGTTTTTAAGTTCACCACAAAGTCATCTTTTGCCTGAACCACATGATTCAAAAAACTTAAATAAACTTTACATAAAATAAATAGAACTTTAATTATGTCAGGGGAGAATTATGTTAATAAAAAAGCCATGAGGGTTTTGCATAATTACACTTTTCAATAACTGGCCTAACTTGTTTATTTTTATTTTTTTGTGTTTAGAAAACCCCGTGTACCTGACAACCACCAAATCTCCCGCAGGCCCKATTGTGGGTAAGTTCAGAGAAAAGAATTTTGTAGCTCATCGCAACACAACTCTGGTTGACTAATAAAATATTTTTCTTTTTTTTCTCTCCTTGTGTAGTACCCACTCCCTGCCCGTCAGGGTATTTCAACCCTCCCATCTGTCAGGGTGAGCATGGTTAGACCTGAGATGAAGAGATTCTTTTATAGTTGGGGCTGCTTTTATTGCTTGTTCATTTCTATTTCTTGTGTCTAGCTTTTTCTTTATTGGCCATTTTATACTGTAAGTTACATCAACTTAGAGGAGGAGTGTAGGCTGTTAAAACTGTGGAGGATCACGTTCGGTACCACCGAGTCTGAGTTTGCTTTTCAGTGAAGAACATGTGCTGGAGCCCAGTCGCCTGAAGGCTTAAAGTCTAAATGTGTGAGGTCATGTTCGAAGGCCATTTGAAGCCTGTTCTCTGTGGTGTTTGGGTTTGATGGGATGGTGAGAATACTGGCGTAATACATGAGAATGCACGGCAGATAATGCGCAGTTGTTTGGCTGAACAGCCAGAAAAGAYGTGGTCCATCAGAGGGGGATTTAACCTCAAATGGTCTCCTGGTAGCAGCTGTCATTTGGGACGTAACCAGGCTAATATTAGTTGTAAAATGATTTCATCTTGTTTCTTTTTGACTAATATGGCTGCTTCTATTAAAAAAAGGACCTTTAACCCCCATGTCTTTTTCTGTAATCTCAATATTTACTAGTTTTACTGTGGCGGTTTCTTAGTGACGGCTCAGTCTGTTCACATACCAACACCAGGCGAGGCTCATATCTGCACCGCTGTGTGCTACAGCGTGAGACTAGCTCAGCTGATGGAAGTGTTTGTTAATTATTTCTGGAGCAAATTATGCTTTTTTTAATTTAAACTAACAAATTAATTGTTTGGCTCACTTAACTTTTTAGATTTTAAATGGTTAGTTTCTGGTGTGATGCTAAATATTTGCGTGTTTGTGCGCAGCATGTGAGTGTGACTTCAGAGGGACGGCGTACAGCACGTGTGATGCGTTCGGGCGCTGCCTGTGTCGTCAGGAGGTTGAGGGGCGGCGATGTGACCGATGCAGACCCGGGTACCACTCCTTCCCAAACTGCCGGGGTGAGAGAAAAACAGAATGAGGAGGAAAAAACATCTTATGTTGCTTATTATGGATTTAAAACATATTTTTAATTTTGTACGTGATCGAAATAAACCTAGTTGTTATTACATGGCAGTGTGACTATTACAGATTTTTTGATTATTTGCAGAGAGTAACACATTAGAGGTCAGTTCAGAAATAATTAAGTTTGTAGTATTAGACTATTTGCTTATAAGTCTTCTTGTTAATTATTTTAATCATAATTTTTTCGCTTCTGGAAAACTTAGAAACATGAAGCAAATCTACTATATTTAAGAGGTGAAATGTTTGAGTTGGTTTTGAACATGTGGCTGTAAATAAAGCCTCTAAAGAGGTCCCCACCACTAAAATGAAAATGTGTATATTTATTTTACAAGTCATCAAAAGTTGTTTGAAGCTTTGATCAGTTTGTGTTTGTTTTGTTTTTTTTCATACCATTTTAAGTAAAGTAATTTCTTTAAACTCTGGGGGGGGGAAACCCCAACAACTTTCAGTAGACAGTTTTAACTGAATATTTAGA